GACGGCATTGCAGAACACCCCAGGGCACGGATAATGAAACGGATGAGTTGATAGACCATGAATGCTTTAAGACGGAATAGTGGTGAAACAAAACCGACCCTAAAGTGCTGGAATTGCGGTGTTGAAGGCCACCTACGAAGGAACTGCAGAACTCCCCAGAGCACGGAAAAATAAGGCATACGATTTAAACAGACAATTAAATGCCACGGGAAGGAAAAGGACTGACAAGAAACCAAAGTGCTGGAACTGTGGAGCTGAAGGCCATGTACGAAAGAATTGCAGAACACCCCAGGGTACGAAAATTGAGAAAATTTCTGAGCAACGACGCAGGAAACAAATTAATGACCATATCAAGGAACGGAGGTTGCCAGATAATGAAAAACCCTGTTTTAAAGCGCTTAAGATCTCTATAGTGAGTGGCAACAATAACGGACTGTCCATCAATGGGAATATCGATGGAGTTCCTTGCAATATGATCATTGACACAGGAGCTAATGTTACCATCATTAGGAAAGATTTAGCTGAACAGTTTAAAGATAAACTTATTTGGACGCCATCCTGTGTTACCCTTCAGACTGCGTCTGGTGAAAAGATCGACATAGCTGGGAAGTTAAACGTGAAAATCACATTTGGAAGTGCCGCCTACCATCACACGGCATATGTGGCGGATATTACAGATCCATGCATACTCGGATTGGACTTTTTAAGGAAATACAATTTTTCCTTAGACTTGAAAAACAACAAACTGCTTTCAGGATCTGAAGACATGACTATCCATCCTAAGAAGGGATCCTCACCTGGAAATGCCGACGCTTTGTCCGAAAGAACCAGCTCGAGAAACAGCCGAAATCATGCTAGGGTCGAAAAGAAACACCAGACTACCAGCTATTCTCCATCTCAGATGCTCTTCGGTCGAGACCTTCGTCTGCCTTGTGACCGCCTGTTTCATCGCCGTACGGATGCGCCTTCATCGCCTGAGGAACACATCCAAGATGTCCAGGCCCGTTTTGAAGTGATGCACCGTTCCGCACGAAAGCGAGTGAACTTGGCGACGGAGAAAGTGAAGACCAAATACAACGCGAGAGCTACTGGACGTAGATTTAACAAAAGAGACAAGGTGTGGTTGTGGAACCCGATTCGGCGAAAAGGAGTCAGGCCTGAATTACAGTCACCTTCGGATGGTCCATATACAGTCCTGAAGAGACTGAATGACGTCATGATCCGTAAGTGTTCGAACTCTAAACCTAAAGTCGTTCATTACGACATGTTAGCTCACTACAATGGCCATAGTACATAATGTAAATAATTGTAAATAGTATGAGACCATGGTCCATTTTGTTTTTAAATGTGTATTTGATTTGATTTGTATTTAGTATTTGATTTGTATTTAGTATTTGATAGCATTTGATTTGTTTAAGTTAGTTATTGCATTTATTGTTCATGTTGTTTGATATTGTGATGTAATGTTTATGCCTCAGTTGCATTTATGCCACAGTTGTAAGTTTAGCTTCCTGTCCAGGGATTGTACTGCCCGGGACGTGCAGTCCTTGGAAAGGGGGCAATGTTACGAATTTGGTATTTAAAAAGCTAATGTTAGTTCAATTATAAATTAAAATGGTTTTATTTCTCGCGCAGTGCAGCGCGTGACGAATATTAAAAGAAAGTTAAGCCGGAAAATTGAAATTACTAGAGCGCGTGCATTAAATAAATAAATATCTCTTTTTGATTTCGAGAAAGTACTGGAAAATTCTAGCGCGTGATTTTTAAATACTTATAAAAGGAGGAAAACATCTCAGTTTGTAATTAGTTGCTTGCTTAGTTTGTTGTTGTTTTAGAAAACTGCTCTTGTTGATTGTAGCGAATTCGCAGATTAGCGTTCTTTATCTGTTTTGAATTACGTTCTATTGGATATTTGAGTAGTTAAAAGATAACTACTGTGAGATATTGTAATACTGCATGATAATTTGAGAAAATTTAAGCATTTTTGTTGTGATAATAATAAACTTTTGTTCATTTTTCATCGGACTTGTGCATTCATTTCATAACGAACCCGTACGCACGCAACAATATGTTTATAACACCCAATTTTATGCATCTTACGTACCTTCGAGTAATATTTTTAGGTTACAAATCGCGAAATTCGGGGATAAAAATGTCGCGAAGGAAACAACGCAAAGCAAAAACATCATCGAACATAACATCGTGGGAGGGAAAAACAAGAAAATAACATCTCAGCTCTAAAACATCGGGGTATAAAATATGTAAGTGGAAAATAAACCATTTTAAAAACATCGCAGTTTCAAACATCATCATAAAAGTATCGTGGTAAAAAAATAAAGCACCTGTAAATCATCGTATGACGATAACATTGCAAACATATGTTTTTCAGGTTTTAAAAAATTTTACATGTATATTGGAATAATGATTTGTAAGCGGAAGAAATTATGAGGAATATGTTTACTTTACGTTCACATTTTTGGATTAATTAATAATTTTTTACTGAAAAAGCAAAAAGCAAACTTAAGCATTCAAAAACTGAAAAGAACTAGAAAATTAATCTTACATATATCAGTTGATAGAATTTTAAATTTATGTGCTTAAATATCAAAAATCATTATTTAATTAATCTTTTATGAAGTTATATTGGTAGTTTTTCATGAAAAACATTGTCTAAAAAATTAGAAATAGAAAGATGAATAACTGCATAATCTTACCTCTATTAAAATTGTTTAATTCATTAACAAACAGTAAAATTATTTTCTTTCATTTTGATAATCTAATATTCTTTTAGTAAAAATTAAATCTTGTTTTGCTTCTCATTCAGTTACTGATCTTCCGTTTTCTAATATCTTTAGACTATATTTTTCATGAAAAGTTACACATACAACTTCATAAAGAGATTAATTAAGTAATAATTTTTAATAGTTAAATACATAAATTCAAAATTGTATTAAATTCTATATGTAGGATTAAGTTTCTACTCCTTTTCAGGTTTTGAATGCTTGAGTTTCTTCTTGCTTTTTTAGGGAAAAATTATTAATTAATCCAAAAATATGCGTTTGTATGTGTGCGTGTGTTCGTGTTTGGGGAAAGAGTCAGTCTTCTAGATTCAAATGAAAAAAACGAGAGATTAGAATTCCTCAATCCCCAAACAAATTCCATTTATTGTTTATGAAAAAACAAGTAAAAGATATATTCAAAATCTTTCAGGAGACTTAAAAAAGAAATTAGATTTAAAATTACTCCTCACTCCGTTCAAGTAAAGCAAAAACACAAAGACAAGAATAGCATCTATTGTTTTGCTACCAAGGGTAATCTGGTGCCATTTAATCCCGATTTTTCTTTTTCTACTTTAAAGAAACTGAAAAAACGTAAAACGTTACTCACTCGAATATTTTTTTTTCTTATTTTAGCCACAACCTTTAAATGAAGAAATGAAAAAATGCATTCGTTGAGTTTCATATTAAATCTTTCATCTTCAGTATTAATGTGAACTCAAAAATTTTAAACGTTCGCTATTTTAACGGCTGTCAGAAACTTACATAAAATAACTTTTTCTGGTTTTAATACTATTATAATTTAACAATCATTTATAATAGTATTATTATTTACTTGATGAAAATTATGCGGAAATTCATGAAAGTCTCCAATAATTACGAAAATTATCATACAAGGACGAAAATATGAAAGATTTAAATAATTACTCCTAAACCAAACACAGAAAAGAAAATTCAAAGATTGAGTGTCTTGAATATCATACTTGATTACTTCGTTATAAGTTAAAGTATGGTCATGAAAATCTCAGTTAAATATTTCATTTAACTAATATATCAATTTATTTTCATTGAGTCTTTTCACATTTTCCAACTGTTAGTGAACAGAAAATACAAAATCATCACTTTCTTATTAGCAAAATAATGTTCAATTTATTTTGCTTGAAGTACAGGTTGACTCAGAATTCTTTCCCTGATTACAAGCATTCATAAGGCACAAAATATGACACATAGCCAAATAGTTGTTATCTTGAATTACATGTAACATATTCAAGGTTAGGTATACATACTTAGTGTTACTTTGTTTGTGGGATTACCATGCTCGCTATGACTTTGCTGTTGCCCTGCTATCTGAGAATGAGAAAGATGTTGAGTATCTGAAACGTGTCCTTTTCTCAGATGAGGCCACATTTAATTTGAATGGTGGCGTCAACCATGGAGGTAAAAATGAAAGGAGGGGCCAACCCCGCATTACGAGTGAAGCACTGCTCCCAGACTTTGGTCTGCAGATGGGGTGTTTTTTGTTTACATCCAGAAGCTCCCTTGACAGCGTTTTGATAGTATTTCGACACACGACAGCTCCATACAAATCGAAAAACCAGGCACTTCAGCGTAAAAGAAACATTCATTGTGTGATGGATAATAGCATTTGTATAGTTTAGTGACATTTACGCTAAAATCATATCTTGGTACATGGTTGCATTGACTCAGAAAAAATGACTAACGTTGGGGGTGGGAAATTTTGCCTTATCCGCCAGTATAGCGAAAACTTTGCATTTACAGAATCACCACTTCTACTGGTCTCTGAGCTGAGCTGTCATGAGAAGCCGTTAACAAACTTCTTCGCCTCTAAGGACGATCTGCAGAAGAGAGATTCTAAATCTACTGTTCTCCTGGTAGAAAATTAGGGATAAGACTTATATATACTTTATCCAATGATAAATCTTGGTTTTGTGTAAAGTAAACATTCACATTAAATGTCTAACTTGAGCGGAATATTCTTAGCAAAGTGTGCTGCTAGAAAATTCTTACTATAGTGATAAGTATACAAATGAGAAAATGGAATGAGTCCAGTCTCAACTAAATTGCTCATGTTAGATCTTTGTGAGTATCTAGCTTTTCTGGCCAAACTGTTAAGTTTTAAGATCTGAACATATATAATCAAGCAAAAACTTAGCTAATTTAATAGCCTGGATATAACTGGATATATAGAATTGGATAACTTACCAAGAATGTTGTTACTCTAAAGTGGGAATATTCCAATTCCAGATACTGGAATTCAGAAGAACCTGGTGCAGTGATATTAATACTCGTAAGTCTGTTAATTCTGTTTCCTGGTAATATAGATCCAATCTGTAAATAAAGTTTATTATTAGCGCATTTATTATGTTTTTGTAAAGTACTATTAAATCGCAGGTTTCAAAGCTGAGCTCATAATCAGTTAAATTGTAAAACTAATTTGATAAATAAGGATTTTTCTGAATATATTAGCATTCTTTGGTAGAGTTTAAAAATGAATAGCAGACTTTTATGCAAATGTAACAAAATATGTTTACTATGATAGACGTCTTTACAAAGCTTAGATTTAAAATAATAAATAATTTGTGTCTCTTTAAGGAAGAATATAAGTCGGAGAAGGTTTAATTTATTCCGATTATTGCTAAGGCTTCAGAAATTTCCACATTAGCTTAATATCATATAATGTGAAAGCAATTACATTATACTTATCATGTCACTTATCTATTAGTCAGCTTTAATAAAAGTGAATAATTTATTTCTAGAATATTAGTTTTACATTAAGGATGCTGAACATATGAGGGGGTCCAATGAAAGCCGGGCTTTCTGTAGCGAAATTAATCTTAGTCGCAAAGATAAGAGGTACTTCACAGGTGGAATGAGCACGTAATTTAGTAATTTGTTGAATGACTATAAGTGGGATGGGTCTTCAACCTACCCAACTACCTCTGTAAATACCGATAGTAACCCGCCACCATCTTCGGTAGAAGTTAGAGAAGGAATTAAAAAGTTAAAAAATAACAAGGTCCTAGGCCCTGACTCGATTACTTCAGAACTTATTAAAAGTGCTATAGGTCAAAACATTGAAGAAATACATCACCTCATCCAATAAGTTTGGAACCAAGAAGTTTTACCGGAAGATTGGAAACTGAGCGTCATCTGTCACAAAAAAGGAGACATTTTGGAATGTACCAACTACAGGGGAATCAGTCTGCTTTGTGGGTTTTGCAAACTATTTTCCAATATAAGTTTTAGTAGACTAGTAACTTATACAGAAAATATTGTAGGTGATTACCAATGTGGTTTCCGCAAGGAAAGATCTACAGCAGAACAAATCTTTAACATTAGGCAAAAAAATCTAATGAACATGGCATTGCAACACATCCTTTTTGTTGATTTTAAGACTGCCTACTATTCAATAAACAGAGAAAATATTTAATTGAAGCTATGAGAGAATTTGCGATACCTAAAAAACTTATAAATTTGGTCATCATTACTCTTACTGAGACAAAAATTAGGGTTAAAAAATCCAGAATAATCTTTCTGAGCCTACTATTGTTGTTTCAAATGGGCTCAGACAGGGTGATGCACTGGCCTACTTGCTTTTTAACCTTGCCCTCCAAAAAAATCATAAAAGAATCCAACATTAATACTCATAGAACTATCTTTAACAAGTCTGTTCAGATTTTTGTATTTACTGACGATATTGAAATAGTCGCACGCACCCCCAAGTCATTTAAGGAGGTTTTTAAACCTTTAGAGGCTACAGCCAGCAAAATGTATCTAGCAATCAACCAAAATAAAACTAAATGCATGCCATGTGGCAATAACCGCAGCCCTTATTTTGAAATTGTGAATTACAAATTTGAAACTGTTAGTAAATTTAAATACTTAGGATCAGAAGTTAATACTCTCAATGATTTAATGCCTGAGATAGAGTCACAGATGCTAATCGATGTTTTTTCGGTTTCAAAAATTACTTGAAGTCTAACTTTACTAGCAGAAAAACGAAGATTTTAATTTACAAAATCTTAATCATACCCATTCTTACATACTCTGCTGAGACCTGGGCAATGACAGAAAAAGCTAAAAGTATCATTTCTTTCTTTGAAAGAAAAATTTTGAGAAGTATTTTTGGTGCCATAAAATGTAACAATATCTGAAGAAGAAAAAGAAAAACTAACTCTGAACTCTATAAAGCTTTTAAAGAAATATATGTAGTATAATATATAAGGATTCAAAGAATTAAATGGGTAGGAAACCAGCGCAGAATGGATGAAAATCGAGTAACTAAAAAGATCTTCTCGGCTAGAATATTCGGCACCCGGAAAAGAGGGAGACCTAAACTTAGGTGGCTCGACTGTTTGGAAACAGACTTTAAGAATTTTAAAAATAAACAATTGGATGTCCATGGCCAGGGATAGAAGAGCTTGGAATTCGATTCTGAGGAAGGCAAGGGCCCATCTTAAGCTGTCTGGCCATTGAAGAAGATGATGAAGTTTTACATTATCATACACTTAAATGTTACTTTTTCTTTTATACGAGTAAATCCTAAAAGCAAGTCTTAAAGCTTCTTATCTTAACATTTACAGAACCACTAGGACGGTCGATGTTAATTATGAAAAAAGATGTTTTCACAAAATATTTTGTCAATTAGTAAAAGCGCAAACACCAGTGTAATATAATTCAAAACCTTTATTTAGACATTCTATGATGAAAAGGAAAGATGTGATATCTAAGTGCAATCATACCTGCGCCTAGCAGTTAAAGTAAACAATAATTGTTTTAGGATGCAACTCACATGATTGCAAGTAAATTTCTTATCTACGCTGACGGAATTCTGTTTATTTAAATAAATAATTTCAGCTATAAAACAAATATTATTTTAGATTTCATTCATACTGCTGCACTGAGGTATCTATGGTGGAACATGGAAACAACCAGACTTATGCTAATTTCAGAAATGCTTCAATTCTGACGATGCATATGAATAAACCTAACCATTTTTATCATTGCCATGTTTCTCATATAGCGGATTACATTACAAACACATCTGGAAAGAGAGCATGGTGTATATGAAATGAGAAGAAGTACCGACATTTGATAGCTGTATAATAAGGATAAAATAAAATCCTACAGTTTGTAAATTACATAAAGCAGATTAATTGCAAGTTAATAGTGTTAGGTATTAACTTGAAATTAGATGTAATAATAATAAGGTAGGTAACTTGCAATTATATGTAATAATTAATTCAGGTTGATGTTAATAAGGCTATGTTTCGTCATATTGTGTTGAGAAAAGGAACCACAAGGTTCAAAACTTAAATCAGGGACTTCATATACTAAATTCCCCTTGTATCATCTCAATGAATACAGACGTATTTTTTAAAACTGTGTTCTTAAATTTGTTTCCAATTAATTGAAGGCCTTTAAATTTTTCTTTAGTTAAAAACTTTTAAAAGTGCGTTAAAGTTTTTTCCTTCCTTTTTTCATTCTTATATAGGTTTATGAAGAAATTCCAGAAACAATTACGTAATTTTAAGCAATTCTATGCAGTCAAAATTCAAATCATTTAAAATTGTTACTTTCTGTTTCTTTCTTCGCAGAAAACAAAGAAATCTGCCGTGTTATTTCTAGAACTTCATAATGGAGTCATCTCTAGTCGCTCAGAGTACTGACAGAAGAATCATGCTTGTGATTTAATTGGTATCTTTTTCAATCAATATTTTTCACGTGGGACGATAAAATTAGACTTTTTGCTATCTGCACAGGAAGGATATCGGACAAAGGATAGGTAGGACACCACACATTGAACATCCTCTCACACTTCCTCGATCACAGGAATAAGTTTCCTTAAAATTTTGGCCGGCAGTGTCACCTTCAGTAAGTTGCTTAAAAAATCGTATCGAGCTTCTTCATGACGAAAAGGCTGATTCGTCGTTAAATATAATAACATGAGGTTTGTGTGATGTAAGCTCATCTGATATTATAATGCTTTATTTGAAAAAATATGTTCTCGTTCAAGGTTTCTTAACTGTACATTTCAGCTCAACCCTGCCCAATGCAAATTTATTCTGTATTTGACAAGCATCAGACATCGAGGTAGGTTGAGCAGAGAATTTAGCTAGTAGCAAATATATACACCGTTCGTGTTTAAATCCGAGTAAAAAGAAATAATGTGCTTCGTGTAGAACAGCCATCGCATCTATAAATAAGCATGCCGAGTATTGCGTCTTCAGAGGACTAATAAAATTAAGCTAGTCCATTAAATTTTTTAGTAGTGAAATTTCCGTACTATTTTTAACTAGTACATAAAGTTTTGAAATTATTCAGCAATACTGTAACATTATATGATGATTTGCACAAACTCAAAAAAGAATTTGGATTTAAGAAGCATTACTTATAATGAAGTACTCTTAAATATTTTATATTTGGTAAGAACAATTATTATTTCTTTCTTGGAAGAATATAAAAATATTTACGTTAGCGAACTAATGCTTCAAGGGGATCAGCTTCAAAGCTATCATCTTGTTGCTATTTTGATAAATTTCTGAATAAGTTTTATTTCTTGGAATAAGCTGTTTTGGCTTATGAGAACTGAATGATATAAATTTATCGCTTTTAGTAACCTCCGTACTATACCATTAAATCTATAAATTTCTCAGTCTATATCATAATGTTTTCATATATTTAATATGACTCACTTATCAAAATAATAATCAGGTTAACACTATTTCACATATATTCACCTACTTAGTCAAAATTTTAATGCCATATGAATGAAAATCTGCAAAAATGGAAACTTATATAAAATTATGTATGTAGTGCATTCGGGGTTATGAAACCCTATTGTTGATAAGTGGTGTTTTCATACGTATCTATATTTTTATTTAAAGGTGACATTAATATCCCAGATTATTTACCTGATAACTCTTGCTAGCTCATTTTTTCAAACATTTTTATTCAAGTTTTTCTCTTGAAATTATTAAAGACTTATTTCCTATTTTTTAAGTAACTTATATTACATTCTTCATTTGCTCTCCTTTGTTTTTTCCATTGTCAGTCTATATCATAATGTCTATATAAAATGAGCAATGTAATATGTGGCGATCTAGATTTTATGGACGAAGATTAAAATTTGAATGAATATATTGAGTGTTTAAAAACGTGTAAAGGCTAAATTAAAGAAAAATAAAATATATCTTTAGGTAGAGCAGTGGTTTATATTAGCAAAAATATATACTAAAAAAAACACAGCTTAAAAAATTGCAATAAGAGATTATAATAAAAAATTTTAAAAGTACATACAAAACGAATGAGGAAGCTCACGAATGAAT